GCTGGACCAGTGAGGATTATCCTGGGAGCCAAGGCCAGGTGCAGGAGGAGGCCGTGGCCAGATCCTTAAGCCACAGACACCACAACCCCCAACTTCCACGTTTGTTTTTCAGGCTGAGAACTCTCTTGGTGGGGAGTTGCCTCCTCCACTGTTTCAGATTCTGACTTCTCATATTTCAGGCTGGGGCCTGGTCATTTGCCACCTTCTCTGTGAAGCTGCTTTCTCCCATCCCAGAGTGCACTTGGCCCTGAGCACCTCCACATAACCCTTGCTATGCTTTGCTTGGGCCTGAGAAGTGTTGCTGTATTCAACTTCCTGCTCTACCCAGAGGGCCCTTGGGAGGCCCAGAGTTTCATCTTTGCAGCTCCCTCTTGGTGGAACTTCTGGGGAAGTGCATTAGCTGTCAGCTCTACCCTCTTCTGCTCTATGTGTGACCTGACAGGCTTCCTTCATGTCTGCCGGGACTTCTTGTTTGCTGTGTCTGCTTCCATGAGGGCCTCATCTTGGGTTTGGACCCGACCTGCTCTTTGCCTGACAGTTCAGCCCAGCCTTTGGGACTCCGGCTCAACCTGATTGACTCCTGGCATCCCTTCAGCAGGAAGAGCCTTCACTCCCTTCCTTAGCAATGGGAACTCGGGCAGAGGGTCGATGGAATATAAGTATAGCACACTTCAACTCACCTGTTACATGTAAATCCCCACTCAGGAACACAGGTGGACCTCGCTAAAGCTAACAACATGTCAGGTATAAATATTCATACATGAAGAAAGTAAATTAGGGGCTTAGCAAAACTTTTTTCAAAGCATACCAGGGACTATAAGTTCCTTGTATGGCCCTGGCCAATGTGGCTCAGTTGGTTGGAACATTGTCCATAAACTTCAAGGTCATGGGTTCGATTCCCAGTCAGGGCACGCACAACTAAGTTGTGGATTCAGTCCCCAATTAATATTTCTCCCCCCGCCGCCCTAAAATCAATAAGCATGTCCTCAGGTAGGGAAAAGATTCTTCATATGCATTTAGAGAGCTCACTTTCCTTGTAGCTTTTTGGAATTAGAGGTATTGAAAGTGAGATTTAAGGTTAGGAGATGAGTCAGCAGGGATCAGAAAATTCTGTCACGTAATAAAATGATTGCAGATGCCAAAAAATGTTGGAGATGGAAGTGAACTGGACTGGGGACCTCTGCCTCACTGGCTTGGCCCAACCCCCCCCCCCCCCCCCCAGCTGCGGCCCTGGGCAGCACCCACTCCTTCGCTGAGAGGCCAGCCTCCTGGAGCGCGCTGCTGGGTCTCTGTGTTGGGAAGCCGTGGCCCCACCTCTGGATCCGCTGTCTGAGCTCTGTGACCTGAGGCCACCTGCTTCCCCGTCTGGGCCTTGGTTTCTCTACCTGTGAGATAAGAGATCGCTATGCCTGCCTCTTAGAGCTCTTGTGAGGACCAGAGGGCGTGAGTCCGGGTGGGCACATGGTAAAAAGTAGTTTAATGTATTTTGGGCTTTCTAACTGCGGGGCAACAACTACTGACACTTATGTAACTTTTTCCACTTGGGGATCTTTAGATCCAGGTTCAGTCCAGGGTCAGGAAGATCAACCTGAGAGAGCAAGTCATCCTTCCAGAAGCTGCCAGAGAAAAAAACCAACGTTTCTAGAAGTAAGGAATTTAATAGCAGCAAATCTACCAACCGATAGGGCCTGGGAGAAACCTGATCCTGGATGGGTTTATGGCCTAATCAGTGACAAAGACGACCTTTGCCCAGACACTAGGTGTGTTTGAGCCCCTGAATGAGGCTTTAATCCAGGAGATGTCAAAAGAGCCTAATAAATACTTACTCCATTGAGTCAAATCCAGCAGTTTGAAGAAAAATGCAAAGTTTCGATTCTGTGTGCCCCTCTGCCATGTGAGACGTGACTCCGAGGGAGGACACTAAACCAGGCCCTCCTGTAATGGGCGACGGGACCGGAGCTTCAGGCCAGGCCCTGGACTCTTGCTGCTGTGACCAGGAGCAGGAAGAACACGTTAACCAACTGACTGCACTGCACTCCTTTCAGAGAGGGAGCAAGAACTGTCCTTTGCACCGCAGCGCTTTCTGGCCCCGCTGACACCAATTTGGGAACATATGGTACATCGATTTCCTAGGACTGCATGACTGCACACCACAAACTGGCCTTCTGAAAACACAGAAATTTATTTGCTCAAAGTACGGGAGGCTAGGGGTCTGAAATCAAGGCCCCAGTAGGGCCACGCTCACCTCGAGACTGGGTAGAATCCTATTTTTCTTTTCCTAGAATCCTAGCCTCAGGTAGCTGGCAGTCCTTGGCATTCCTTGCTTTACAGCAATGACATTCCAACCTTTGCCTCTGTTGGCACATGGTGCTCTCTCTGTGTCCCTGTTCTCACATGACATCCCCCTGAGTTTAAGGACACCAGTCCCAGTGGTTAAGGGCCCATCCTAAGCACTTCTTAACTTGAGTGCACCTGCAAAGAGCCTGTTTCCAAATAAGGTTGTGTTCACAGGTACTAGTGACTAGGACTTCACGGCATCTCTTTTAGGGAAAACAATTCAGCCCATAATGCATGGTGAGAGTAGACAGGCTGCGGCCCCGGCGGAGGAGGCAGTCAACACAGGGCGCCCCACTGTGTGCCCATGAGGGGCCAGGTTGAGGGGCCAGGTTGATGGGCCATCTATCAGGACCCTCAAAAACATTCATATCCTTTCTTGAGGTTCATTCATAATCCTCACCTGAGGTTATGTTTGTATTGGCTAGAGGGAGAGAGAAACGTTGGTGTGAGACAGGAATACCCACCAGTTACCTCCGCATGCGCCTGACTGGGGAGTGAGCCGGAAACCTATTGGTGTACAGGCTCCGACCAGCGGAGCCGCCTGGCCAGGTCAACATGCGTGCCCTCTAATCCAGTGACTGCTTCTAGGAAGTCGTCAAAATGTGGGTAAGACTGCACACAGAAATACCCATCTCAATAGAGTTTGTAAATAACTAATCACCGGGAACAACGTCAGTGTCCAACAGCTAGGGATGGTTATTAAAATAAGGCATATGCATGTGAGGGGCATTATGTGGCCTTTAGACACGACATTTTTAGAAAAAAAATAACAGGGGACATGAACTGAAAGGATATATTTATTATGTTGTCAACTTTGTAGCAATGTACAGGGAAGGAAAAAAACAACATAATGTTCATATTCCCCCCCCTTTTATGGAGGAATGATGAGTGATTTTGTTATTTAAAAAAATTATGGCATTACATAAGTTCTCTGCATTGGCTTTATAGCCAAGGAGGAAAAAAACTAATGATATTTTAAAAATAGATACATAAATTGTTTCCTGGAGTATACCTTCCAGGACGTTCTGGCTGGGAGGAGGGCAGCAGCTGCTGGGTGTCCGACTCATTTCTGTGGTTATAAGCCACAGCCATCACCCCCCTGGAGTTTTTCAGCATGTACTTGGGTGGCTACTTACATCAGAATTACCCATAATGCCTGTTTTGAAATGCAGAATTCTAGGCCCCACCCCAGACCTGCTAAATCAGGGTCCCTGGGTGAGGGAGGGCCTAAAAATTTGCATTCTCACAGGCTCTGCACATTTGAGACCGAACTCCCCCTGCTTCACGGGCTGTGGGTAACCCACTCATCAGTCACCAGGGTGGTTTCTCACCCCAGTCATCTGTGCCCTGTCCGCCTACACTGGGCTTTGAAGAGTAAAACCAAATAAACAGGGAAGTTATTCTCTTCATAAAGCCCATTTTGGTTCTCCTGCCTAGGACAGAAAGCTGCAGAACACAAGATTCAAAAGAATAGAACATTTGTGATTGTGCTTTATTTTGGAATCCAGTAGCAGCATTTCTTCATTTATGTCTACTAATGAAAGTGAGTTCACATTCTCAGACTCTGCCCTAGTCTGGGGTTCAGAAAGTTGCAGGGAGACATCAGCCCCCAATGAAAGGTTTGCCCATTAACAAGGAGGGGTTGCATGTGCAGGTAGTTGAAAATGGTAATTACACACGTGACTTTTCCTAACTCACGTCTTCGAGGTCTCCTTTATTGCCTGGCTTCGGGGAGCAGTACCAGAGGGCAGACGCAAGTAGAAAGGTCTGCACTTTAAGGTGTGTCCTGGCTCGGGGCAGGGATTGGCAGAGCAGGCCCTTCCTGCCCTGCAGTGCTGTGACTTGTCAAGACCCAGGGGAGTCGTGGCATGCACGCAGGGGCCCAACAGCTGTGCAATTAGCCACCTCATCAGTAGGTGAAACTCAACACCGCAAAGAGGCAACAATTCAAGGTATCAGTCCATACTTGTTGTTTCCGGAGTTGGTCATAGGCTCCAGGGTGAGCTATCCTGAGTATGAAATACCTGCCTTCGTGTGGGAGCAATCAGAAAACAGAACCAGAATGGCAACTGTGAAGCTGTGCATCTCACCTCCTGGAAAGGGTCACATTCCCTTTCTGCACCTTTGCATGGCAGGTTTCAGGATGCGCTCCACCTGAGCCCTGTTTCAGGGGGCAGGAGGGCAAAAGGGGGTAGGCTCTGGAGAACGCAGTGTGCTGGGCACCTGAATAACATCTTCCATTTTTGCTTGGTCATCATCCCCAGCACCTGGCAGGCACTGGCTCTCCCTGAGGTCTGAAGAAGACCTGGATAGGCCAGGCTGTCTCCTGCTCTACAGCTCAGGACGGTCCTGGGCAGTCAGCGACTGAAAGCCCAGCTCTGAGAGCCTTGGGCACAGGGCCCAGGGTCAGGCCTGCTGCTCCTCCCAGATGCCTCCCTGTCCTGCAGCACAGGCGGGAAGCAGAGGAAGGCAACTGAAAGGGTTAGGGCCCATCAAGGAGGGAGAAAATGCAAAAGGAAGCCCTGTATCTTTCCCACAACATGTAATTAGCTCCTAGCAGAAGATGCCATAGATTCATGATGGGAGCCGACAGCGGGGGAGGGAGGCTCTGACAAGCATGAGATTTCTCATGGTTTTTTAATTTAATTTTTTAAAGGAACATGAACAGCTGCAATTAAACTGTGGACCTTCAGTGAAGGCACATCCCCAGCAACAAGCCATATCATGCTGCATCCGGTGCCCACCCAGGCGGGCTGATCAGGAAGGGCTTTCCAGCCTCAGAGCTCCCTCCTGGCCCCGGTGGCTGACCATTTCTTGTCCCTGGTGACCCAGGGTGGGTCTGTCAGCAGCCCCTGCTCTGTCATTCTGCCCCAGGGTGACAGCCGCCCCAGTGCCCTCTCCTCTCCTTGACAGCAGTCCCTGGAATCACCTTGGCCTCCAGCCAGAAGCTCCCAGGGCAATGCTCCTGGCAGAACCCAGGCCTCCTCCCAAGTACTTGAGGGCCTGCCCTCAAGTACGCCGGCTGCACCCCGGGAGGAAGGGAAGCACGGCTGGGGAGGAAAGGTGGGGAGCCCCTGGGCAGGGTGGCTGCAGGTGGGCAGTGTCTGGACGTCCGCCAGGACAAACGGGGCCAACCTTCTCCCAGGCACAAAGGGATCTCTGTGAGGGACACACCCAGCCCCGTGTGCAATCTGGGAGGCTCGGGTTTCTTAACACAGAGCCCATTCCCAGACTGGCCTAGGTGTGGCCTGCAGGCTGAACCCTGCTGGGCAGGGTCCTGTGGACTCCTGGTGACCCATCTGGGTGACTTCAGTCCTCGTTATGATCTGGCATAAACATGAAGATGGAGGAGGCCTGGACAGGCAGCTGAGCTTCGCAGCACATGGCAGCTGCCTCGCCTTCCTTTGGGAAAGAGCCTTCCTAGGTGTACTCTACACACTCCCTGTGGGTGTCTGTGTCCCAACTTCCCCCCTTTTTAAATAAGAACACTGGTCATATTGGATTAGAGCCCACCCTAATGACCTCATTAACTGTATTATCTCCGAAAAGACCCTATCTCTAAAACAGGTCACATTCTGAGGTGCTGGGGGTTAGGATTCCAACATATCTTTTGGGTCGGCAGGTGGACACGGTTCATTCTGTAACACCATCCATGGGAAAGTGTAGGAAAGTATGGAGGAGAGATGCTGGGAGTCTCCTGCCTCAGCAAGGTCTGTGAGCAAATCTGGGGGAGCCTGGGTCATGTGTGTATTCCCCTCTGCAGGGGCCGGGGGGGCCTGAATTCCTGGCTTCTGCCCTGGGGAGGCGTGGCCCTCTAATTTGGGATTTTTCTCCAAACACAGGAAAAACACTCAAAGGATTCACCTAAAGGTGGCCACAAAGCACAGCAGAAATCAACTCTGCGGGTCCTTTCTGGTGTCCTCCAAGGGGACCCAAGAGCAGAGAATGAGGACCTCAGCCTCCATTTCTACATCTCCCCTTTAATGCCTAGTGTTGTGTGCTGCCCGCTGCAGGGACCAAAGGTCGACGACTGCAGAGGACACCTGGCAAATCCAGGTGATAGCAAAGAGGTAGCATTTGGTAAGCGTTCACAGCGTGGCAGGCATTTTCTACACTCCTTACCGCACTTAACCCTCACAACAGCTTTACGAAGTAGGGATGATTATTGGCTCTCTTTCACAGATGAGAAAACGAAGGTGCAGAGAAGATAAGTAACTTAATAGGTGGGAGAGCCAGGATTTGAATCCCGCAATTCTAGTCCGAGACCCAGAGCCTAACCACTGGATTTCCTGCCCAGCCAGCCCACAGGCAAGGCCGGTGAGCACAGTTAAGCCATCGCCCTGCTGACAGCTGGGAGCTCAGTGGAACTGCCCCAGGATGGCACATACATTGTTGTCTCACCCTCTCTGAGCCAAGGTGGGTGTGATGCTGGCCCGAGGCACCCTGACAAAGGGAGGTGTGGAAAGAGGCAGGGGAGCCGAAGGAGGGGAGAACCCTTGGCTGGAGCTGCAGGCCCAGCCTGGGAGGCTCTGCCTGGCTGGGCTGAGCAGGACCTACGTCAGAGGACTGGTTTCTGAGCTTCTGAACTTGGCGGGGCTGGGGCTGGTCTTCCTGAGAGGGCAGGGAGGGCCCTCGCCGGCTCCTTGCCAAGGTAGTGCCTGGAGGCGGTGGAGATGCTCCCGAGGGTCCGTCCACAGTGACCCAGAGGAACAGCTGGGCTCGGAGGGGCCAGGTGGCTGCCAGGGCAGACTGTCCAAGCTGAGGTGCACGTGAAGGTGGCTCAGGTACCTGCCACCTGCCCAGTGGCAGAGACCTGGCACCTCTGTGCCTGCCATGGAGGAGTCCCAGCCACTCCCTGCTCCTGTGACTGTGGTTGTTGGAACATTGCTCTTTCCATCACCCTAGGGACAAAGGGCGGGAAAAGAAACAGAAGCAGGCAAAAATAGCAGGGACATATTCCCACAGTCCCAAGCCTTACCCACCTGGATTTTTCCCTGTGGCCCTGGCCCGTAGGACTGGGCCTCGGCCTCCCACACTCCCAGTGGAGAGCGTGGTTGCAGGAGTGTGCATACTCCGGGGGGCTTGTCATTCACCAGCGCACCCCCGCTCTGCAGAAAGCTTCCTGGCAGCTTCCCCTTTCCAGAGGAAAACAAGGTGAACGTGGCTGGGATTTTCTTAAACAAAACAGAAGAGAAAGGTTAAAAAGTCTTGTCCTTCAACGGCTTTGATAATAAGAATAGGGTGGTCTCTCACACACCAGCGGGACATTTTCAAAACACACATGGTCACAAAAATAAGAAAGACAAAAGAAGGAGTAGGAATGATCCACTGGAGGTTTTTTTTTTTTTTTTAGATTTTATTTATTTATTTTTAGAGGGGAAGGGAAGGAGAGAGGGAGAAAAATATCAATGTATAGTTGCCTCTCATGTGTCCCCTGATGGGAACTGGCCTGCAACCCAGGCATGTGCCCTGACTGGGAATCGAACCGCAATCCTTTGATTCACAGGCCCTTGCTCAATCCACTGAGCTACACCAGCCAGGGCCCACTGGAGGTTTTTATTTCAATAGGTGACTATGAAATACATAGTTTAAAAGTTCAGTTTAAGAAATGTTTGCAAACATCAACCATGTTTGAGTTTCAGAACCAGATTAATCTTTGCAACAAGATGAAAAACATGAACGCCTTGGATGTGCCCTGATGTCTCCGTGTCTCCCCTTAGATAAGAAGCAGAGAAGAAGGACATTCTTAGAATTTAGAGAATGAGGTAGGGTTGGGGTTGCCAGATAAGATGCAGGATGAGTATAAGTTCCAGCTATTGTATGGGACCTATTTATACGGAAAAATCATTTGTCGTTTTTGTCTGACATTCAAATTTAACTGGCTATCGCATGTTTTTATTTGCTCAGTCTGGCTACCTTAGGTGGGCCTCACACGCACGCACCTCCCTCAGGGGAAGAGAGGAGCAGAGGCTGGCAGAGAGGCTGGCAGGGCTCCAAGGAGGCCGGGCCTGAGGCTGCAGGGCTGCCTGGTGGGGCCCCGGGGAAGGCTCTGGGCCTCCTCGGGGAGCTAGCTCCGTCCCTCTGGGGGAACAGGTGGGGCGCAACAGCTGCAGGAGGAAGCCTTGAAAACAACAACCTGAAAACAATTCGGTTTTCTCTGGGGAGTTGCCAGCCTCAAGAGAAGCCAGACTCAGGGTGGCAACATCTACAAGGACTCTAGGGCCCCAGACCAGATGGTGGCCCATCTCTCGCAGCTGGGGGGTCACCCTGACCCCAGGGCTACAGTATCACTGTGACACAGCCCAGCTGCTCCTGTACCCTCCCCAGCCCAGGCGCCGACCTCTCCTGCAGGCCTGGCCGTGTCAGCCCTGCCTCACTGAATTCCCCCGCATTCTCTGGGGATGAGGTCATTGAATATCCCCAGCCTTTCCTGCGAGGACAAGGGGCAGTAGCTGGGCAGCTAGTTATCTGTGTACTACCCACAGGTACCCTGGGAAGGGGAGGGTAAGTAACTTCTGCAGGAGCCCAAGGAAGCAAGTGGAGCCTACCTGCCTCAGGGGGCCTGGGAAGCTGCAGAGCCCACCTCCTGGGAGGCCCCCTGCTGTGCGACACCTCCCCAGAGCCACCCTCCCACGGCTGTGGGGAGGCTGAGGTCCTGTCCAGTTCCAGGGAACAGGGAGGAGTGAGGGAGGGAGAAGAAGGGGCAGGCCTGCCCTGGCAAGTTTCAGCTTGAATGTGAAAGGGCACTCACTGGAGCGTGGAGAAAGCAGGGGGGGGGGGGAGAAGGACTACCCATGAGTAGAGCGTCTCTTTGATAATCTTTCAAGGTGCTTCTAGTCCCTTTTTTTTTAAACAGAAGGTGAAACAGGCCCAGCGAGGTTATAGAACTTTCCTCAGGTCACCCAGTAAGTGGGGGAGTCAGAAATTCGACCCAGAACCCTCTGACTCTAACACCTGGGCCTGTTCTGTTCCTCACTGCTGCCCAGGAAAAGTCTGGTCTGGCTCAGGAGGAAATACCTACTGTCCACTCTGTTCCCCCCCCGGTTGGTGGGTGCCTGTGTCCCGTGCCACCTCCAAGACTTGGCTTGTGCCTGAAATCTCCACTAGAAAACAATGCTGAGAGGAAACAGCAGGACTTCTCTGTTTCCACACCCAACTCTCCTTCTGGGCTCCCAGCCCTCCTCCCACAGCGTGGGGTGAACCCCGTGGGGCCTGGCCGCGGTGATCTCAGGGCGCTGGGCCTTGTCCCCAGTTCCTGCTTCTGCAAGTCTCATTTGGTAATTTTTGACAGAGTGAAAACCAACCCCTGAAACCTAGCCTGTGTGGTTGGTTCCCTTTGATAACGCTACGAGATACAGGCCCCCATGATGTCACCTCCCTACTCCCAAGGGATGCTCGGTGCTGTCCCTGCCCCCTCGGCCCGTCTCAGATCTCTCCACACAGGGGAGGGCAAGCCCTCCTTATCTTCCCCAGTTGGTCTCGGTATTTCTCATGCTCTCTGACACTTCCGACACCTTGGGGTGCTGCTACTCCTCCCCCTCAACACCTCGCAGCAGCTTTAAGGTGACAGGAAACTTTCAGGTGAGTGTGGGGGGAGAGACTGGGGGTGGGACTGGGGAAGGCCGGAGAGATAGCTGGGAGGGCAGAGAGTGTCTTCTGACCGTGAACCGCGAACTTCATTTATTTGCCCCTGCAGTTTGTTGGCTGGCTGGGGGAGTCTGGAGGGGGGTGGAGGCCAGACTCCTGGGTCCCAGGCAGCCTGGCTCTGGGCTCAAAGTCTATTCAAAGCGTCACAGTCTCAACCAAAAGCTATTGAAAAGGAATCGAGCTCCGTTTGCCCCTCCCGTGCCAAGGAGGCACTCTAGCATTTCTCAGAATTGCCTTTCTTCTCTCAAATCTTTTTGCTCCTCCACGTCTCCAGAAACGTCCAGCCAACTGAATGTCTTTAAAAAAATTTTAAATTTATTTTTAGAGAGAGGGGAAGGGAGGCAGAGAGGGAGAGAAACATCGATGTGAGAGAGACATGGTTGCTCTCTTATGTGCCTTGACTGGGGACCAAACCCGCAGCCCAGGCATGTACCCTGACTAGGGGCACACGCCTTTCACTTGTAGGACAATGACCAACCCACTGAGACACACCGGTTAGGACACAGAGTCTTCTTGGTTCACATCCCAGCTCCAAAATGATCAGACTTGGGCACATTACTTAATTCTTCTTTGCCTCAGATCCCTTGCCTCTGATGTGGGGGTAAGAGTACCTGCTGCCTGGGTCACTGTGCAGATGATGGTGTTTGTCATAAAAGAGTGAAAATCGCACCTAGCATGTGGCAGGCACCCCGAGAGTGTGGGTAGTTAACACCTACTACTTATTATGATTATTCTTCCCTTCCCTCCCCTCCTGCACCTGCAGCCCAATCTTCATTCAGGCTCTGGCCTTCCAAAGCTCGGCAGGCTGGCCAGGCGGAGCCGCGAGGAGAGGGTGCGTGTGGGTGGGCTGGATCACTGCAGCCTGCCACACAGAAATGGACCTGTGCCCGATGTTACAAAAGGTGTGGGGACCCCTACAGATGGTCCTCAGCTGGGAGGGAGCAAATTGGTCTCTGCCGAACTGGAATGGGTGAGGGACCTGGTGGCAGGAGCATCTGCTTTCGGTGCGAACTGTTCGTTTTGGGGGAAGTCGGTCAGAGGACTAGTGAGCGTGTCCAGATGGAGGCTGCAGTCTGCATACTCATGCACCCAGGCCCCAGTTCATTGGCTGCTGGCTCCCCCAAATCTGTGTTCATGTCCTAGCCCCTCAAACCTATGGTGCAGCCTTATTTTGAAAAAGGGTCTTTGCAGATAGAATTAATCAAGACTCCAAAATGAGCGCCTCCTGGATTACCCAGGTGTGTCCTATAAGAGCAGAAGAGGAGAACTCAGACACAGGGAAGGCCACCTGAGGACGAAGGCAGAGCTAGGAGCTATGCAGCTGAACCCCCCCCCCCCAAAAAAAAAAGCCTGGAGCCCCAGGAGCTGGAAGAGGCAAGGAAGGGAGGCTTCAGAGAGAGTGGAGCACCTGCTGGCACTTGACCTTGGGTTTCTGGCTCCCAGAACTGTGAGTGAATACATTTGTTTTTTTAAGCTACTCGATTTGTGGAAATTTGTTACAACAGCTACAGGAAACCAATACAAGGACCAACTGCAACCCCCCTCCCAGAAGGGAAAAAATATGGGGGCCGTGGGCGAAGTGGGGAAGGCAGACAGAAGTGGAAGTCAAGGGGTCAGTGAAGGACCGTCCTCTCGTTCGCTACTTGTGACGGCGCAGGTTGCGCACCGCACAACGTGGGGGGCGGTGCCGTCCGCTGCGCAGGTGTGGATGTGAATGTTCGATGCCTGTTTTTTTTTTTTTTCCTGCAGGGGTAGTCAGGTGTCTTGAGGAACCTTGTTGGTTTGGGGAGAGAAACATCTAGACAGTGGCGTGCACTAGAACTTTCTGCAGGGATGGAAATGTGATGTCTGGACAAGAAAATGAAAGCTCGGGACTGCCTGATGCAAAACCGAGTAGCCGGAAGGCTGGCGCTGTCCATCTGGTATGGTTCAGAGGCCCCTCTGCGGCTGCACTCGCTGTCGAATTGAGTGAGAGGGCCAAACGGGCGGAGGTGGCAGTTGGAGGTGTGCCAGAGGGTTTGAGCGACGTCCAAGCAGATGGGAGAAGGTCCACTAGGCGAAGGAGGAAGGGAAAGGCGCACCTGAGCAGGTGAGAGATTGCTCTCCAAATTGCTGGATTGCCTCCCTTAGCAGCCCTTCATCAGTCTGCCACTCATGAAGTTAGCGAAACTCTTTTGAACCTATTTATGTTTTGAACTCTCACTGTGGAATAATGAACATTATAGGGAGATAATCATAGACATGGATGGGGTGTCGGTCCGGTGGCTCCTGGGCCATAGGGTCATTTGCTTCTTAAAAGAGGGCTTTCGGGAAGCAGGTATGTTTAGGCTCCCAGACAACTCTGCTGGGCGAAGATGGGCGCCCTCGCTGTCTCTGCCACCCCACATCATCTGAGTGCAGCTGCACAGGTGACGTCAAGACTCCTATTTTAATGGCCAGAGGGCAGGACACATGTTCAGCTGTGGCTCCAAACCTTGAAGGGACCCAAAGACTTCTCTGAGGCAGGAGAACTACAGCTGTAGATATTTTTACTTGGGAATTGAGGTCTAAGATGTCATTTGGTGATTATCATACTCCATCCTTCTGTTGGCAAGCAATGAGGATGGATTTACGGGAGACTTTTAGGCATAAGCCCTGGCCAGAGGGTAAGGCCCTGGTTACCCCGGCCCCATGCACATCACCTGGAAGCTCATTAGCCAGGCAGACGCTCAGATGCCTCACACCTGTGACATCAAACTGGGTTGTAACTGGATCTCCAGGTGAACTGGGTGCCCAGCAAAGCTTCAGGAGCTAGAACAAGGCCCATTACTTGGCACCGAGCTAACAGACTTCTCCTGAGTTAGTTAATAGCTGAACCGACCTTGTTGTTTCAGAATTTTGTTGGTTTCACCACCCTGGAGAAAGTTCCTTGAAACATAAATCTGTCAAAGGAGGTTTCAAATACAATGACCCCAAGTGCAGTGGCTGTTCTGAAAGCTGAGGGTCAACTGTGTTGCACACCCCGACCTCCGGGTGGGCGTCCCTTTGGGAGGGGAGAACGGTGCAGAGCCTCCTCTCAGGCTGCTCTGAAGCTCGGTTCTGAATCTCTGCCCACTTCTCCCACCACACCTGAGAGGACAGCCCGCCCTGTGAGAATGGTTGTAGTGTGTCCACCCTGACCTGTGGCTTCCCCACACCAAAGCCTGGGAAGGAGGCGGCCCCCTCCAGAACTTTCTGAAGGGAGCCAGCAGCCCATGGCGGACCCCGGAAGACCACACAGACCTCGCCTCAGAGGGCTTAAAGAGACAGAACGTCACACAGTTGGAAAGTGGTATTAGTGCGTCCACAACATCCATACAGCAAGAGGCACAGCTGTTTAAACTGTTAACTTTAGGAGAATATTCATCAAACAAAAAGAGTGCAAAGTAGAATGTTAGTGAATTTTCAAAAAACACATATCTATATGCATAGAAAAACCTATGCATAAATATGTTTCTATGGATAAGTATATTTCTAAATCTATGGTGTCAGTGCTCTAATTTAGCCAAAGGCCACCAGGAACACATGTGGGGGGTTTCAGCTCGTTAGAGGGAGGGAGAGTGCACACCATGGGCAGCCGGGGCCTCTCAGACCAAGGATGCTATTGATAGAAAGGAATTCGAATCAGATTTGGCCTTGGGGTCGGTGCTTTGGGGAGGGTTGGAGCAGGCAGACCTGTGCTCTGGAGAAGATGCTGCCAGGAGGCAGGGGCACTTTTTTTGTTTGGATATCTTAATTCTTATCAAGATGAGTGGATATGATATTTGGCATATCAAGATGAGTTAGTAAAAACAAAAACCATGGTCACCCATTCTCCAGGATAGGGGGATGTTTGGTTATTTTTGTGGTTTGCACAACGCTCTTATTTTGTCTTGTTCAGATATGGTTTCATTTTTGTTTTGATCTTCACAGTCACGGTGGCCTTGGCTGATGTTGCTGTTCTGTGAAACTGGTTTTGCTCAAAGGAGAAGACCAAGGCCCAGCGGTGAGCGTCAGGCCAGCTCCTGGCCGGCAGGAGCTGCTTTGTTCTTTCTCAGTTGGGCAGCGGGGGGTACCTCTGGGTGTTGGGACTGAGGGTGGTTGTCACTTTTTGCTTCCCATTCTGGGGGAAAAATTTTGTTTTACAACAACCATGTATTACATTTATCTTTAGAAAAAGTGGCTGTTTCCTTTTGGGGGGAAAAATCACCTCGATAAGAAAATGCCAAAGCGGATAAACCTTACACCAGTGCATTCGTGGGCTCCCAGCAGGCTGAGAGCCCAGGCACCGGAGTCCAAACAGCCGACCTGCAGAGCAGCCCCCTCAGATATTCTCCCAGGAGGCAGCGTGGGAGTGCCAGCATTCGGGCTGAGATCGGAGACTCTGGACTGTTAGAAAGCTCCCCAGGGAATTCTGCTGGACAGCCAGTCTTGAGATCACAGTTTTAGGTACTTTGACTTCCTAGGCCAGCAGGGGCCAAGTGCATGAGCTAACCCTGTAAACTGAGGCATGGAAATTCTTTAGGGCCCCTCTAGGGAGTGTGTCACAAAGGGGAGGGGACCTTCTCTCCCACTTTGCCAGAGAAGACCACGTGGCTGTGTCTGTTCCTGTGTGGGGCCTGCGGGGTGTGGGGTGGAAGGAATTCAGCAACTGCAGTAATGGTACCTGGTGATGAGATGGTCCCTGGCAAAAAAGGCCTCAAGGAGGAGAGGGGACAATAGGTGGGAATTATGTCCTTGCTGGTGCCTTGAAATGCTTGAGGGGAACTTTGTAATGGGCTGGTTCCTATGGTAGCAATTGGGGGCATAAGCCAGGGAAATGGCATGCATCCCTTTGAACACTTGACAGCTAAGAGCTCTGAGCCCAGGAGGTTGGTAATGGGTGCTATGGGGTCCCACCCAGACCCCCTGTGGGACCCAGGCACTCCACCCCCAGCTGCAAGAGTGTTGCATACTGATGGGTCACAGCTGTGTTTCTCCCCAGGAACTGCCCTCAGCTGAAGGTTCAAGGCCATGCCCCTTCCTGAGGGCAGCCTGCATACAATGACTAGTCAAGGAAGGCAGGAAGACCCAGGCTCCTTTGCTTGTTTTAGCACAGCCCAGCTTCAGAGGCCCCCATGGGATCAGCTGAAATATGTTCCGAAGCATCACAGTTCAGCCTATGAGGTTCAGAACAGGCCTCCCCCAAATCTGCAACTTTGGCATATAAATTATATTGAGCTGAAAACAATCAAGGCCCTGCAGACTCATGAAAAAATATGTAATTTTCCCTTAAAGAATTTAAGTTAGATGCCTTACCCATAAACATATCATGAAGTGGTATTTTGTTGTGGTTTTAATTAGCTTCATATGTATTTTTGACTCCCTGCTGTGTCCAGCACTGTGCTAGGCACTGCGGGTACAAGAGACAGAGGCTCTGCTTCCGTGGAAGTCCCACACTAGTCAGGGGACGACACAGGAGAAAGGAGTTAGGAGATCTGACTTCATTAGCTATCAGGGACATTCGTACAGCTCGGTTGCACCTAGGGAAGCAGAAACGAGAGCTCTTTGGGCTTCTCTCTCTCCTCCCCTTGGCTGGGCAGAGCAGAGGTTGCATACTTAAAGGCCTAAAGCCACAGCCAGAGGAGAGAGGCAGAGGGGTGAGTGCCTGCACACCTGGGCGTGAGTCGGAGGGGCGGTGCTATGGCAGCAGCCCTGCCTCAAGGGGCAGGTGCTGCTTGGCACTGGTTTCTTATTGCCAAGTGGCCATGTAGACATGGGCCTGGCCATACTCTGTATGGAAATACGATTTTTGTATGAAATCTTCAGTTTTAGTGAACTGTCTACCAGTTTGTGATTCTGCCCTGGATCTGTTTCTCAGCTGCAAGGTCTCATTTGCAAGGTCAGTGTCTCTCGGGAGCACACCTGTGACTCTGCCTCCGTAACAAGCATCCTCTCTGACCGTCCCTCCCACCCCAGCCCCCAGTGGTCTGATGCCCACTGGAGTTTGAAAACCACCAAACCAGAGCCGTAAAGGAAGGCAGCTTCCTACTTAAGAGACGGCAGGGCAGTCAGGATCGGGCTCCTTGTTTGTGCCAGCTAGAGTGCCCGTAACCCGGCCCCAGTATCTCAGGGCACACAGCCGTCCAGAGTACAGACTTCTGTGTGCCAGGAACAGGGGAGGGTCAGCGAGGGGGCGGGCAGGAAGAGCACGCCCCTCCCCCGCCTGCCCTGGCTCTGCACGGCCTCCTGTGCTTAGCTGCCCATCCCAGTGGCTTTTACCCTAGTGGGTATGTGACTGCCAGCCCTGATGCCTGTAGTGTCCTGGTGAACTTTGGATGGAAACCCTTTCCTGGGACATGGCCCAAATAGAGATGGCAGCTGTGGCCTACACTGACACATGACTGTTAAACAATATGTTTGTTGGTCTCTTGCGTAACGTTCACAACTGCAGGTAAAACCGGAGGTTCTCTGGCAGGAGTGTCAGCTCTGAAGATCCACAGGGGCCCCTTTCACAGCTTTGAATCCCCTGCCTCTGTAGGTGTTTATTCCGAAGCCACTGCGACACTTCCCTGGGTTCACCTGGCCACTCGGACTGCTCTGTGGGGTTGGTGTTCCAACCCCATATTTACAGAACTCCAGACAGGTCCCTTCCCCCTCTGTGTCCCCTGTCAGCTCTCAGGAGGCATATAGAAGGAGCAAGTAGTTTTGTAGGCAAAGAGGGTGACATGGAGGACAATGTAAGCCTCGGGTGTGTCTTTGTGGGGATAATGATCAAAGGGATCCGGTCCCCCCTCCCCACCAACCCCCACATGCTCCTTGGTATGTTCCACCTAAATAAAGAGCTGGTTGATTTCCCCAACAGAAAATAACAAGAAACAAGTTAATAAGCATTATGTTTCTATGTACGTTTCTATCCATAAAGGATCTATTTAAGTCTTCTGCCTAGATTACTCTCAGCAAATAATTTTATTGTTAGGAACCATAACCAACATAAAATAGAACTGTTGTGAAGCTATTTAGTAGCCTTCATACCTGTGATAAAGCGCCAAGCCCAGTGGAGATTATGGGCAATAATAACACGAGTACCCACTAGGGCCAAGCTCTGTGCTAAGGGCTTTGTTTGGATTGTTTCACTTCATCTCCACAATCCTGTCAGATTTCATCCTCAAAACCACTCAGCCAGGAAAGAATTATTATGTTGCCATTTCTCAGATGGCGAAACTGAGTCGCAGAGGTCGAATATACCAGATGCTTTACATGGTTTGTACTATGTAATGTTTAGGCCAGTGCTGTGAGATCCCCTCCCGGCAGGACTGTGGGAGGTAGTCGTAGCTTTTTATGGATGAGGGAACTGAAGTGTGGGGGTGTTACCGATGCCCACGGCCATGCAGCCATGACGTAGAGAAGATGGGGTTTCAACAGAGGGAAGTGTAGCTCTTAGCACATCACTTAACCTCTGAGCAATAGGCAAAGACACACAGACAGACACATGTTCATTGTGTCAGTGCTTGTTAAGAGGAAAAAGCGAGAAACCATCTACGTGTCCATTGATGGAAAGGGGGTCACACTAGTGAGGGCACCACATTCTAGGTGGTACAAGCCGATACCAAATGAGCAAGGTGGATTGTGTATGTGCTGATGCGGAACGACATAGGTGGTCTATTCAGTGAAGAAGGCTAGGTGCTAAATAATATGCACAGCATCATACCGCTTCAAATACGGGGCACACTCATGCTGGGTAATTAGAGAACTTAATTATTTATTTAAGGTTAAGTTACATGAACTGACATGGAAAGATCTCCAGGACATATTGTTAAATGGAAAACCGAGAAGCAGAGTATGATAACATTTATTGTTTTTTCATATGTATTTATTATTTTAGAGAGGAGGGAGGGGAAAAAACATTGATATGTAGGAGAAACACTGACTAGTTGTCTCTTGAACGCCCCCTCAAACTGGGGACCTGGCCCGCACCACAGGTGTGTGCTCTGACTGGGAATTGAACCAGCGACCTTTTGGCTTGCAGGCCAATGCTCAATTCACTGAGCTACACCAGTCAGTATACTGAGGGGAATTTAATAAAAGGAATATCTATAGAGTTGTGGGCAGGATAGTGAAAAACCACCAGGAATGGTGGCGTGTAATGCTTGGAAGTTTTGCTACCACCTGCTGGAACCCAGAGACAAGAGTGCATGGTGTGGAGGGGCCACTCCAGGACTTGAGACCCTCCTCCACGGAGGGAAGCGGTCACTGAAACAGCCAGGAAGGGCGCAGGGGAATCAATGTCCTGACCTCACTCCTCCCCCACTCCCCTCTCCACCTGCTCTTCCCACTTGCCAAACCCACCTGAAGGCTAGAAAGTGGAGGAGACCATTGCTGCAGGTCAGCCTCCCAGGGCACGTAGGGGTGGAGGGCGCAGAAGCATGAAGGGAGACCTGGAGGGCCAGCGGAAGGTTTCCGGCACATTAATACACACATGCTTGTGTTTGAAAATACTTATAAACAGGCTCTGAGAGGGTAAATTCCAAATTGTTTAGAGAGGTTTCCCCTGGGTGACAGGATGAGAAAGAGACCTCTGCATTGCACTTTATGGTCTGTAGTGTGAGCTACAACCAAAAAAGAGGCCCCGCCTGGGGGGAGACTGCCCATCAGCCCTGGGTCTCTTCCCATTTCTGAGCAGTGCAGTTGCTAAGGAGTGGTGGGCAGACTGCGTTTTCCCAAGATGGCGGCACCAGTATGTCCCCCACCCCACGTGTTCTTCTTACAGTGTGACGCTGACCCTCCTCCATGGCCAGGCGGGGTGAATCTCATCTCCTTGCACCTGATTGGACCTTTGAAATTGGCCAACCAAGTGCTGTGGAAGTGCTGCTGAGTGACTTCGGAGACTAGATCATAATAGGTGATATGGTTTCTGCTTGTCTCTCTCAACATGTCCCGAGAGCCCAGAGCCAGCAGGTGAGAAGTGGAGGTGCCCTCGGGCTGCCGTGCAGACAGGACACGGAGCGCTGCTGGGGGGTGTCTGGGGAGCAGCCCAGCTGTGTTCCCCTGGCTCAGGCAGCAGACGTGTGAGTGCAGGACTCTTCCGCCGGCCTAGCCACCGGCTGGGGCTGCAGTCCCGTGAGAGACCACCCAGCCAGAACCACCCAGTCCGGCAGCCTCCAAGTTCATGACTCTTAGAAACTCAGAGAGATAATAAATGAATACTATGGTTTTAAGCTAAGTGTTGGGGTAATTTTTTTAATGATTTTATCTTTAGAGAGGAGGGGAGGGAGAAAGAGAGGGAGAGAAACATCGATGTATGAGAGAGACATCAACCGGTTGCCTCTCAAACGCTCCCAAACCAGGGACCTGGCCTGTAACCCAGGCATGTGTCCTGACTGGGAATTGAACCAGTGACCTTTCCGTCTGCAGGACGAGACCCAACCCGCTGAGCCACAGCAGCTGGGGCGAGGGTGATTTGCTATTCGGGAATAGGTCCCACACAAGCTAGCAGGAAGCATGAGGACTGACTTCCAACAGCCAACCTGGAGTTCAGTTGTGACTGTAGAATAAAAGCAGAGCACAGGTCCCCGTTCGCTCTTTGTACTTGACCCAGGCATCTAAGAGCATTCTGTCGCGGATGCTGACGTTTTCTGTCCCAGCCTCTCTCAAGGACCTCAGTGATGCCGGTGTTCAGACCGGGCTTTCCCCGCCCTTCTCCACTCACTCTCATTTCCTCTCAGCACAACCCACCTGAGTCTTCTCACTTCCTCTCCACCCCCACCCTGCTGCCCTGCAGCTCAGAGGACCTGGGCCCATCGTGGTTTGAGGGCCCTGGGTTTGGAGAACTGTCTCACGTCCCTCAGTTGTGCTGTGGGCACCGGGCACTTGGGTCCCAAAAGGACCCTCTACCCCCCTTCTTTTTGGAACTGGTACCTCGCACTGCCTTGACCAAGAATTGGAATGGAACTAACATCTCACAGATCCCTGCCCCTTGCCCACTGTAGGCCAACCGGGGCTGAGCGCTGGCCCAACAGGCCACTCAGAGCCTGATTCTGGAAGTTTTCCAGCTTGAGAGCACAGAGAGAGGGCAGTTTGTTTCTCAGTGGAGGCTGACTATAGCTCCGGAGCTGACGGAAGCCAGGTTACTCCTATATGTGGAGGAATCAGGCTGCCTGCTGTAGGTGAGAATCCCTCCTGCCTACAGGAAAAGAGAGATTACGACCAGGAAGGGAAGTCCAGAGGGACCCTCGTTCTGGGCGGGGTAGGATGGATGGACAGACATAAGCTAGCACAGATATCTTTTTACCAGTTTGAGCTCAAGAAACAGGATGGTGTAGGAGTTAGTAGGGGCCTCATCGCTGAGTTTTAATCCTGGCTAGCCACGCTGAGGACCTGGGGCAGGTACTCAGTGACTGCACACGTAAAACTGGGACAATAACAATAATCCCTTCTTCGAGGGCGTGTTGAGAGGAGTAAGCAGTTAGGGTACAGAACTTACAGAGGGCCCGACACAGTAAATACTGCGCCATGTCACCTATTAATACTTTCACTTGGGCTAGATTTCCTGTCACTTCAGCTGGAAAAGTTTCGATCAAGACTAAACTGCCCCACTCACCTCTGGGTTAATATGTTCCCAAGAGCCCATATGTCCCAGGAGCGGGAAATTGCCAAGCCGCACAGGTGTGCCAGGAAATGTCGGTCAGGACTGTTTCCCCCATACCCTGCTCTGGGGCCTTGGCGTCCGTCACCAGGCTGTCCCGTTCTCACACCTTGAGAGGGTGAAGTCAGCCTGGCTCCTCTCCCTGCCCTTTGGCCTACTCAAGCTGTTTACAGACTTTTTCCCTCTGATCTGGAAACCAGACACCCTCCTTCCTGGGTGTTCACCTGGGCTGGGGCCTGGCCCACCTGGGTCTCTGCACCAAAGGAAATCAGATGTGAAGTCGGGTTATGGAAGAGCAAGCAGAAAATGCAGTCGCTCAGGCTGTTGGGTTCCGTTCTTTCTGTCAGCTTATCCTGTTACTTGGCCTCTATTAAATACTCGTGCCTGCAGTCAACCAGGTAACTGAATGAGGGGGCTTCTGGCAAGAGCAAGAATGAAAGAAAATCCAGTTCAGTGGGGATTTGCTGGGACCCTACACCTAGTGTGGGAAAGGCGGGAACTGACGGAGGCGGAGGCTGGTCCGCCACTCCCTGTGGGAGGACCTGCCACCAGTCCCACCCTGACTCTGCTGCCACCTCCGACTTCCAGGAGGAGCTGGGAGCGTTCTGCTGGGCTTGGGGCAGGCTGGGAGGCAAGACTGGGGCTCAGGAAAAAATGAGGGGCACCCTGGCCGGTTTGGCACTCTCTCTTACATTGCTGTTTCTCTCTTTCTCCCTCCCTTCGCCAATAAACAAACAAACAAACAAATAAATAAAGGCAAATGCCAAGGTCGAAGTGGCGATCCAGAGGAGATGGCTGGACAATTTTGTTCAAATCTAAGTTGTGGCCTGGGAGCTCTAGATCAGTTGCAGATGTAGATCCAATTTGAAAGGGCGGAATGGAGTCTGAGCTTCCAATGTGTGATGCAGAGACAGTGGAAGGGTCAGCCTGGGAGAACAGGAGCCCATGGGACCCCAGCAGGAGGAGCTGTCCAGGCAGCCTGGCCTCTCACTGAAATATTCTGGAATGCCTAGAATTTGGAGGGACTCATGACTGTCTAGGGACAGTAGCCCTTGAGACTACAGTATCAAACTCATCTTCCTGAACCCCATTGGCCAGTGGGGAAAGAGGGACTCGTGATCCACTTGTTTGTCTGTGATGCCCAGTGGGTGCAGGGCCGTCTACAGAGATCCGAACACACCTCTGGGCTAGAGGGCTGGGCAGGACTTAGTATTTGCTTAGCATTTGGCTCATAACCAAAAAGAGGGGTACAGAATTTATTTCTCAAGAAGGCTGAGATGTGTGAAGGCTACTTCACTTTTCTTGTATCCAGACAAATAGTTGGGTTGGGCTGGTTTATCTTGAAGGTCCCTTGCATCTTTATTTATTCACACATCATGAATCATGAATTCAATCACCATGTATCACCTACTCACCCAGTATCTCCTTGGCTCCCATGTACAAGGCACTGCTAGGCACAAAGCTTCCTTTACATGCACTGTGGATTATCTCATTTAACTCTCAGTTTAATCCTATAAGGTAGGGATGTAGTTCTACTATGACAGTCCACGAACCTGTGTGGTTATTTACCCAGAAAGGCTTCCCTGTGCATCAGGCACTGTTCTAGGTACTGGGACAGGACTAAGCCAGTGTCCCTGTGGCTCTTGCTGAGTGGGGAGAGATGCGGTTCACAGGGAACAAATGCATAGATGAGATCGCTTAAAGTAGTGTCAGGTGCTCGGACGAAAGCCACAGGGATGTGCTGGGGTGGGTGGGTCCCAGCCAAGGACGACCACCTCCCCTCTAATCTTCCTGGGTGAGAGAGAAGAAAGCCAGAACGCCAGGCTCTGCTCAGTGGAACTTTCAGGCCAAAGAGGGAGCTGGGCCAGGAGATGCGAGAACCCACTCGTATGGTCTGCCGAGGTGGTGACAAGTTATTATTTATGACAATAAATTCCCAAAGCATGAAGGCCTTGGCCGGTACTGGAAGCTGGCCGGTGTCACAAGAGCTTGTGCTACACAAATCAGGTACTGTGGGTCAGTTTGGGGTCGTAACCCCTTCTGAATACATTCGGGGAACTTTGTAAAGAACACATTTTATTTTTAAGAAGGCAAACAATATACACAACAATACATTGGGAAGACATAAAATGGTTTGTCTTCTGGCCACCCTGGCCACTGCCCCGTCTAGGTTCAGGTCACCTGGAGGGGTCCTCATAGTCCCTCTGCTGGGCCATGGGCTCCTCACAGATTTGCATGTAAATCGATGCTCCTAAAACTTTACACCCCTTTACCTTCCCCTCCTGCCAAAACATGTGCCTGCTACTGGGAGAGAAGGCCCCGGGAGAATTCCAGGGGCCTTGGTGAAACCCTCACGGCAGGGAGGAAGAGAAGGAGTAGTGGGGGTGATCCAGGCCTGGCTGGGGGCACGAGTTTGGGGTCAGCAGGCCTGGGCACAGATCCTGGCTCTGCCTCTTTCTAGGTGAATGACTTGGGTAATGAAGGAACCTCCCTAAGCCCAGGCTCCTCTTTTGTCACTGGGGACAGTTGTTACTCCATGAGACGCTTTGAAGATTGCATGAGCTAATGCAGTTAGGCACTTGGTACATAGCTAAGCGGCAAAAAGTGGATGCTTTCTGTGGTTATCACACAGTGGGTTCCAGGCACCTCGTCAGCCCACATTTGTCTGTAGACATACTGGGGTCAAGGGGTACTGTCATTAGGGCATGGAGGTCAGAGACAGCCTGTGTGTTGGGGTGAAAGTTGAAGGTCAGTTCTACAGGTTTCGCTTTGGTGGGTCCCAGGTTCTATTCCTAGACTTGCCACCCACCCATGTTCTGATTTTGAACCTGTTGTTTAGCACCTCTGGGTCTCAGTTTCCTCACCTGTTTGATAAGATCGGTCTTAGTTGTCTTTAGGTGTCTCCTGCCCTCACATCCTGGGATTCTTTGCTCAGGAGAGCAAGCTGGGTTCGTGCCCGCCCAGTTCTGGCTTCAGGAAGAGAAACTGAGCTGGCAGGGAAGGAGCCTTGGGCAGGGAAGGACCCTTTACCCCTGGCTCGAGGAACGATGGGCTTTGACTGCCTTCTCAAGGTTCTCTTTTCTCCCATGTTTTCTGTGCATCTTTCTTTTCCCTGAGTCCCTGGGAGCAGGTGTGCATTCCCTAGGCCCTCGCTTAGCCTGGGGAGGTTCTGAGAGCTCAAACAAGGCAGGGCTACAAAAGACGTTGAGTCAGGGGGGAGGGATCAGCCGGAATCAGACTCACAAGGGCCAGGAACAAACATGCCCAGCCAGCACCTGTTGTGGGCGGACAGGATGAAAGCTGCTCTGGCAAATCACTGACTGAGCCAGTCACCCCAGAGCTAGGTTCCAGGCCACTGTTGTCAAGAACAGGAAGGGCTGCTGTGCAATAAACCCTCTGCAGCTGGCAGCTGCGTGATGCTGGCCCAGCTGTGCTTGCAGGCCACGTGCACACCTGAGCTCTTGCTTGACAGGTTTGCCTTCAGCAAGGCCGTGCAGAGGAAACTTCCTGGCGGGCACAAAAACTCTGTAATGCCTCCAGGAAAAAAGGAGCACTGTGGGAAGCTACCTATTTCAGCGG